AGGCCTCTGTGTGTCCCAGCAAACTGAAATATGTTCTAAGAACGTTGTTCTAACGTTCCATTCATGTAATGAATATGCTAGTTCTGAATGTTCTCTCAATATCTAGTTTTTAAATGTTTAAAACAGTTTTTTCTTGGTTATGTGAACGAAGACAACATTAGGCAGGGCAAGGCAAGTTTATTTATATAGCACATTTCATACACAATGGTAATTCAAAGTGCTTTACATAAAAAAAAATAATCACAACAATAAAACTTTGAAAATTGATTTAAGAGGTTTAAAATTAATTTAAAACAGTTAAGAATAGAAAATGATTATACATAAAATACAGTGCAATCAGTTTGGACGTAGCACAGTGCTCATTCAGTAAATGCACAGTTAAACAGATGAGTTTTGAGTCTAGATCTTAAATGTGTCTAATGTTTTAGCACATCTGATCTCTTCTGGAAGCTGATTCCAGCTGCGGGCGGCATAATAACTAAAAGCAGACTCCCCTTGTTTTGTGTGAACCCTTGGTATTTCTAACTGACTCGATCCTAATGATCTGAGTGCTCTGTTAGGTTTATATTCAGTGAACATATCTGCTATGTATTTAGGTCCTAGGCCATTGAGTGATTTATAAACGAGTAAAAGTACTTTAAAATCAATCCTAAATATAACTGGAAGCCAGTGTAAGGACCTGAGGACTGGTGTGATATGCTCAGATTTTCTGGTTCTAGTCAGAATCCTGGCAGCAGCGTTCTGGATGAGCTGCAGCTGTCTAATGGGCTATACAAATAAACTTGAATTGAATTGAACTGAATAGATGATGTGGCTTCTTACACAGAATAAGGCATGCAACATATTTCATAGTATTTTAAGGCTATGTCGATTAGCATTGCATTATTATATAATTTATTATAAGGAAAAGTATAATAATAATTATAAGAACTCGGATAAACCATATATTGTCGTAGTTGTGTGCTTATTAGTCATGCTGAATCAATGAAAGCAGTTCATTCTTCTGTTTATTTAGCTGCAGCCATAGGGATTTCCTGGGGTTCTTCCTCGGGGTGTATTGGAGTTTCCGTGCGAGAGCGCCCTCTGGCAAATTAAGACGTTCGGTTTTTATTGACTGAACACAAACTCTTATTGCGATAAAAAAACACTGTAACGGTTTCCACTGATTACGAAATATTTTTGTTTGCTGGGTGGTACTATTATATAGGCCTATTAATAAGGAAGGGCAGCCCAAAATATTGTTTTGCCTAAATATCACGATAAGAGGTAAAATCGGCCCTGTTTATTGTACAGAAAGAGAGCAAAATAGCATTTACATGATCAAATAACTTTATCATTGACTTCAGTCTAGGCAGAATTCAAGCACTCTCAAAAACTCCCATTAAACACTGAAGTTGCTTACATTGTGAAATGAATATCTTGCTTACATCGTACACACATCTGCACTTTGTTGTTTCTGATGAGAAAAATCAGGAGAGAGCAGAATTCATTCAGGAAGCGCTCACACTGAATAAAACAGCTGTTTCAGCGATGGCTCATCTGAATGCCTCTTATTGGCCATTGTACTCATAAGCTCAACAGAATCATGTGTGATTGGTTATAATGCGCAGTGCTGTAGCTACAAACACGGTTGTCTATGGCTCCACGCCAGCCAGCGAAGTTGACTGAAATAAAAGCGATACATCTTTCATACAGTACTATTGTGGCTGAAATGTGTCACATGACAAGCATGATGCATCGCCATGGAAACAATAAGGCCATACGTTCTAAAATAACAGTCACCTAAAAAAACTTATGCTGGGGGATAAGCAAGTGTATTTTAAACTCACGTGGTAAAGGGTTAAAGGCATTCTCAGTTCATCTGAATGATGCAAAGCACTGACATGAACAGCACAGACACTGTAAAGACTCGTCGTGGTCTTCTTATTAGTTTTTCCCTGACTGGCATAGGGCCAGAGCTGCCTCTGAAGCGAATACGCTGCTGTGGGTGCAGCAGGATTTTGAACCTCATTCATTACACTCTTCAGTGCAGATCAATCAGTGGCCAAGGCCTTGGCATCTTTAAGGGTGATGCATTGGTATCTTAGGTCGTCATCAATTTGCTTCAGCCAGGTTTTCTTCGGCCCAGCACAGTGAACTTTTCAGGTCGGCGGCGCCAGAGAAGTCAGAGTGGCATTCGATCACTACTCATCCAGCAGACGTGTCAAAAACACTGCAGACATCGCTTCTGGAAAGCCTCTTCAGATATAGGCTGGTCGCCACACTCTTTTTGGATACCCTCATTCCGGAGTTGGTCACGCTGGGAGACGCAGAGGATTTGTCGGCGGCATCGCATTTGGAAGACCTCGAGCTTGTTAATTTCTTACTTGAGGATGGTCCAGGTTTCTGATCCATATAACACAATGGGAATGACCAAGGTTCGGAAGAGTCTTATCTTAGTTGCAGTAGTGATGTTGGCCTTCTTCCACACCAAAGACAAAAGTCGCTGTTGCCTGGCCGATTCGGCTATGAACTTCATCCGTCAAGGCAATCTTCTTCTCTTCCAGAGATCATAGCTACTTGAAGTCTTGTACTTGTTCAATTTTGACAGATGCTGGTGAGCCATCAGTCATCATAACTTTGGTCTTATCAATGTTGATTTTCAATCCGTATGGACCAGCGAAACAGGCTATGTCATAAAGGGCAACGTTGGCCTCTGTATCCATATCAGCCAGGATGGCGCTATTGTCCAGAAACATAAGATCGCTCACAAGTGTGGATGCTGTACTGAACTCCCTGCTTGTTCTTGAAGACCTTGTTCATGATTAATCGATCAATGTATTGAACAAAAGCGGGGATGCGACGTCACCTTTCCGGATACCTGTACAGATGGAAGACTCCACTGACACCTTTCTGGAAACGTGTATGCAGCTTCTCAAGCCGTCGTAGAAGTTCTGGAGGAGGCAGGACGTCTTCGGTCTACAGCACCTTCCAGAGTGATGTCCAGTGCACACAATTGAACACTAATTTGAAGTCAATGAAGACGATGACCATACACATGACATAACGATTCTCACAACAGCCTCAGAGAGGACTCTGTATCTGGCTTGTTCCTCATTGCTCATCTGCTCCCAATGTTGCTGTAGCTGTGATTGGATGATTTTCATGAAGACTTTACAGTTAATCGAAAGTAGACTAATGCCATGATAGTTCTTACATTCATGGCTGTCACCTTTCTTGAAGATGGGCAGGATCACGGCTTTCTTCCAGGTTGATGGGATTCATTCCAATTCCGCCAGATTAGCTTCATGAGGATGTGGAGACGGATTTGTAGAACTTCTCCACCGGCCATGATTGCTTTGGCCACTATGCGGTCCAAGCCGGGTACCTTTCCATTCTTCAGTGATCTTACAGCAGCTCGCACCTCGTCTGTCGATGGTTCTAGTATCTTTTCATAAACATAATTTTTCTAGTTAAAAATTGCTTTGAATTTCAACTGAGTTCAATTCTACATTCTAACATTATTCAAACTACATTTTTGTATCACGTTTGCTCCCATTCAAATTAATTAATTGTATTGTAATTTAAAGATGTTCTCAATTCATCTGAAGTCGGTAATTACTCATCTGGCAGACGTGTCCAAACCACTGCAGATGTCGCTTCTGAATAGCCTCTTCAATTGCAAGCTGGTCGCCGCACTCTTTTTAGATACACTCATTCCAGAGTCGGTCGCACCAGGAGATGCCGAGGTCTTGTAGAAGCATTGAATTTGGAAGACCTCAAGTTTCTTGGTCCAGGTTTCTGATCCATATAACACAATAGGTATGATCAAGATTCAGAAGAGTCATATCATTGTTGCAGTAGTGATGTTGGCCTTCTTCCACAAACAATGAGGCAAAAGACGCTGTTGTCTGGCCAATTCGGCTATGAAATTCGGTGGTCGAGGTGATCATCTTCTCTTGGATCAGAGATTCCTTGTAGAACTAGTAGCTAACTGCTGAAAATGGTCCCGCCCCCACTGCAGGCCGCGTGGCACATTCCACGATGGCTGCGGTGATTGTTGTTTCTTCTTCATCAATGTCATCTAAGCTCGCGAGAACCGCAAACTTGTTGGTAAGGGCCAGTCAGAATTGGTCCCTGATGACAGAGTTGCTGAGCCGGGTTCAGTCCAGCTTCACCGGTGACATCACTTTCTTCCTGGCCCGCTGTAGTCGAAGCTGCAATTTGCCTCAGACAAGATAATGGTCAGAACATATCCTTGAGCTACGATCGAAATTGGTGGTTAATTAGGAAGTAATCCAAGACAGCCAAATCTTCGTCAATATCTTTTTGGTTGTTGGGTCTTGAACGGTTTGAGCTCCACTTCTTATTAGTTGTAGTTCGGACAGGGTGGCAATCAAGATCTTGGTTGCTGACAGTTCCTTGAAGATAACTTCTAATCTTCCTCACCATGCACTGCATTTCACTGTCACACTGTGTGAGTGTGCGTACAGGTTTATATGTTTTGTGAGGACAAATGTGCATAATGGCATGGGTATTACAACATGAACATGGTTTATGAGGTTTACACTTCCCGTGTCCTTGTAAACCAAATGGCTTAAAAACAGAGTAAACTGTGTTTTTTTTCCCTTTGAAAATCTAAAAATGGCTGTAGTTTCGTGTGGGGGTTAGGGTAAGGGGATAGCAAATATAGTTTGTACAGTATAAAAGCCATTACACCTATGGAAATTCCCCATAATCCACATATGCAAGAATGTGTTTGTGTTGTGTGTGTGTGTGTGAGAGAGAGAGAGAGAATGTGTGTGTGTGTGTGTGTGTGAGAGAGAGAGAGACTCTACAGGAGCAGGAACAAGGAACTTTCTTTACAGTCTTACAGACCTGTTTTACATATTTCACTCAAACAGAACCAGGAAACTATTACAACTCATCAGTTCAGGGGAAAATAAACTATTTCAACTCATCAGTTCAAGGGAAAAGAAACTAAAGTTTTGTTGAGCTGTTTTGTGTCTGTGTCTCTGTATTCATTCAGTAAAATGGCAGAAGCCAGAGTTTCTCAGGATGAGTTCTTGTGTCCAGTGTGTCTGGATCTCCTGAAGGATCCAGTGGCCATTCCCTGTGGACACAGTTACTGTAAGATCTGTATTACAGACTGCTGGGATCAGGAGGATCAGATGAGAGTCTACAGCTGCCCTCAGTGCAGACAGACCTTCAGTCCAAGACCTGCTTTAGCTACAAACACCATGCTGGCTGAAGTGGTGGAGAAACTGAAGAAGACCAAACTCTCTGCTGACTGTGACGCTGGAGCTGGAGATGTTCAGTGTGACGTCTGTACTGGAAGAAAATACAAAGCTGTCAGGTCCTGTCTGATGTGTCTGAACTCTTACTGTCAGAATCACCTCGAACAACATGAGAGTTTGTTTAAAGGAAAGAGACACAATCTGACTGAAGCCACTGGACGACTGCAGGAGATGATCTGCCAGAAACATGAGAAGCTCCTCGAGGTTTTCTGTTGCACTGACCAGGAATGTATATGTGTGCTGTGTACAATTAATGAACATAAAAACCATGACATTGTTTCAGCTGCAGACCAGAGGACAGAGAAACAGGTATTTAAAACTAGAGATTAAGTTAATACTCAGTATAGTGATTTCAATAGTCTGTTTATTTTTTGTGTGTAAAGTCACTGCTTAATTACACAGAAAACAGAAACACTGTCAGTGTGAAGCTCTGTCTGTGTCAGTTTCACGTTTACGATACATACGCTTGCAGTATGAAACAGGCCTTAATCTTCATGTTTATTCATGTATGATGATTGTAAATGATTATCACTTCTGGACATTGAACCTACACACTCTAACAACGGCTGGGTTAAAAACAACCCAATTTGGGTTATTTTGGCAACCCAGCGCTGGGTCAAAAAGGGACAAACCCAGCACTGGGTTGTTTTAACCCAACAAGTTGGGTTATGTTTGACCCAGCATAATGGGTTGCTTTTTTATGGTTTAAAATTACTACACTGCTAGACTAAAATGAACCCAAATCGAGCCAGACATTAAACCTACAAATCTTATTCATTTTAAAATCACTTTTACATACACAGAATGACTATCAAAAGGTAAATATTTATTTAAAACAAGAGAAAACAGTCAAAAGTAACATGCATGTAAGAAGAAATGCAGAAAAGTATGGCATTAACAGCTACAGAGTTTATAAATGAAGCATTGCACATTTGTTGAATATAACTTTTAAGATCAAATTTGCCTTTTTTTGGTAAATTTTATATATTGTATAAAAATATTATACAAAAACACTATTATACAATAGTGGTACAATTAGTTAATAGTTAAGTTCTTTACAAACTATTCTGGCATGACCGTAAATAAACCACAACATTAACACTGATATTATAACATTGATCAGAAACATATGTGTGAAAGAATGTGAACATGTGTATGAATGACAGAGTGTAAAGTCCATTTCTACTAAACAACAACACAGAACAAGCATTTAACATTTTGGTTTTACAAATTATACACTTACAGTTTGTTTCATAGTCCATGAATACAGATCAGGCATCGCTGTCAATTTTCATGATCTCTTTAGCATAATTGATGTAGTCATGAATAGGTGAATAGTCTGTTTTATAATTTCACTGCCACTTTTTAACAATGCCACTTTGTGTGGTTGTTTAATATCTCTGTAATGGCAGCACTAGTGTGAGGGCATGTAATATTGTTTAAATAAATATTGCTTTCAGAAAGCTACTTCAGAATTCACATACCTCACACATTTTCATGTACGTGGAAGGCTGCTCTTTAAAGGGTTAGTTCACCAAAAAAATGAAAATGGTCCAAATTTATTCATCCCCGTGTTGTTCCAAACCCATACAAACTCTGCTAATTTTTGGAACACAAAGAAATATATTTAATATTCTCTTAATTTGTGTCCTCTATTGCAAGTCTGGGAGACCAGTATTTTCTTCTGAACAGACATGTTTGCTATATAATTTAAGATTTATTCATATATAAATATTGTCATGGATTACTTCTACAATAACTCTGTATTTTTGAAGCTTGAAAATACTGATTATCTAGACTTTTAATGGATTAACAAAAAAATTATGAGAGAAAATTAAAAATATCTTCATTTGTGTTCTAAAGATAGACAAAAGTCTTATAGGTTTGGAATGACATGAGGGCAAGTAAATTATTATGTTTTTGTGTGTGAACTATTCCTTTAAGAAAGGAAGACCAAGAATGATGACTCTCCAAATCAGACAACTCCAAAGTTGGTTTGAGTTCTGCAATGAAAAACACGGACATCAATGGTTTACATAAAATATGAACATGTAATGTGTTGTTGCATCAAAATGTGAGGTGAACAGGCAGGAGACAACAGAAACATTTATTTTCTAAAAATACCTTGCATCAATCTCAAAAGAATGATGCTCTCCTATGTCTCTGGCTTTCAACAAATACAAAAACAACAAACATTCTTTTACTCTTAGTAAAAAAATTAAATTGATAACATGATGGAATTATGAACTTTACTTGCCTTAAACCGTCTTTCCCTCTCTTCTGAAGAAGCTGAGAAAATCACCTCCTCACACAAGGAAGGGTTCTGTGTCGTTAACTCCCGGCGCGGGCACAATGAAGACACAAAGCTCAACATGTCTTAAATATAATTATAATATATTACTTTTAACAATTATCACTTCATCAGCCTCAAAATAATTTGGCTAGTCTTTATTACATAACGCTGTTTCCTTTAGGAAACTACATTCAATTTAACCACGAAAAAGAAGATACAGAATTAACATGTAAATATGTTAATAACCCTCTCTTAACACCTCAAAAAATGTAAATATTGTAAAATCTTATGTAAATATGACATAAGGCACTCACTGACATTATATAAAAGCACCTCTTCCTTCCAGTAAAAGAGGCCGTTAAGACCGTTCAATATAAGCTCTTTTCAGAATATTTTTGCCTTCCATGAAATCTCAAGATACTACCGGACTCAAACAATGAATGATGACTTTACATTTTTAATCTTTACTTACCATAAACAGTCTTTTACTCACACTCGCTTCCATCTGAAGACGCTGAGATGGCGGCTTCTCGCACTGGTGTCATCGAGATACGTCCGATATTAACGTGACGTGTGTGCTCTCTTTCAAGTCTGCGTTCCCAACCCAGCACCACTGGGTTATTGATCAAGACCAGTTTTCAACCCAAAATTGGGTTAAAACAACCCAACGTCCTTACCCAGCGGTTTCAACCCTGCATTTGGGTTGAAAAAACAACCCAGCATTTTTAGAGTGCAGCCATTAGTTATCAGCTCCATTTTTACTGGATTCATCTGTTCACTTGATGATTTAGTGCCAGTAGTTTTCTGTGACATTCACTATCATCCGTTTGTCCTGCAGAAGCAGCTGAAGGAGATGCAGAAGATGTTCCAGCAGAGAATCCAGCAGAGAGAGAAAGATCTTCAGCAGCTGAGAGAGGCTGTGGAGTCTCATAAGGTGAGTCTGGAGAAGAAGAGAAGTTTGTCTCCGTCTCAGTTCAGACTCACTGAAGCCTGAATCACTGTGTGTCCTAACAGCGCTCTGCACAGACAGCAGTGGAGGACAGTGAGAGGATCTTTACTGAGCTCATCCGCTCCATTGAGAGAAGCTGCTCTGAGCTGATACGGCTGATCAGAGATCAGGAAAAGACTGCAGTGAGTCGAGCTGAAGAACAACTGGAGCGACTGGAGCAGGAGATCAATGATCTGAGGAGGAGAGACGCTGAGCTGGAGCAGCTTTCACACTCACAGGATCACATCCAGTTCCTGCAGGTAACAGAGATCTAGAAGAACAGGATCATAGTGGACTTGAGCAGATCCTGCTGTGACAGAGACTCACAGAGAAACATTTCATGAGTGTCTTATTATATAATCATCAGTCAGACTCTCATCTGATCGTCTTCTTCTGAAAGAGACGCCGCTTACAAATGGCGTTCAGCTCTGGAAATCTCTTAGGAATCATTTCTCTGAGCTCTTTCTTCTGGAAGATATATTTAGCTGTCAAACACCACTAGCGCCACCAACAGTTCAAAACTTCACTAACATTTCAGCTTTTTACCTAATTTTTCCTTCTGATTTAATACATCATGGTGAAAAAAGTTAACTTGATAGTACTGATTCTGAGTAACGTTCATCAAAATTGGATCAGGTGATCCTCAAACCTAATAAAATAGATTTTTATTTGTCTGTAACATATTGATGAATTTGACCATGAAGACCCCAAACATGAAGTCAGGCTGTATATTAGCAATGCTTCAGTGTATTGAAACCAAACCAAACCAGAGCGTGTCTTAAGGGTCCTTGTGAAGCTTCAGTAAAGTTTTGAATAATGGTAAATTTAATCGTAGCCTTTAAGCTGCTTTTCCTGAGCAAATATACTCATCCCCACAATGAGACTCCATTGATGTGCTTGAGTTGTTAGATGGACATTTACGTTCTTAGCAGATGTTTTATCATCCAAACTATTTCCTAGAAAGTTCACAGAGTGTAAGTGGCAAATACTAGAATCTGTAGCTCGAATGTGATATAATGAATATGAGAAGAATGAAGCTGATGCTGTGAAAGTGCTGGATTGAGGTGAGTTACTAAAGATCAGTCGAGTCAACAAGAGCCGCACAAATCTGATGTTGGTACAGGTTACTGGGTGAAGTGTGGCGCTGATGAGTTTTGATTTCTGTTTTCTGTAGAGTTTCCAGTCTCTCTCAGAACCTCCTGAATCTACAGACATAAATGATGATCCCTTCAGTTCTCTCGTCTCTTTTGATGCTCTGAGAGAATCTGTCCAACAGCTGAAAGACAAACTGGAGGATTTCTGCAAAGAGGAGCTCAAGAAGATCTCAGACAGAGGTAAAGTCCTGGAGATTCATCTGCTCTCAGAAATCAGTCCATCATCATCTCATATCATGGAGAACATCATATTAGAAATGTGTTAGGAATGGATACAGGATAATGAGAATCACACTGTTCATGTCTGTTGATTTCCACAGTCACATTCACCAACATTGTTCTCTGGACCAGGAACGACTTCCTACAATGTAAGTCAGTAAGAAAACAAGCAGAAAAACTCACTGGGTGTCTTCATGTTCTTCCTGTAGAAGGTGAAAGAAGAGTTTTATAAATGATGTAAATGATAGGGCTGCCCTCGACTAAACATTTTTCTGATCGACTAATAGTCATTCATTTGAAGCGATTAGTCGACTAATCACACGTTTATATTAATTAACCATATAAGTCACAATAATGAGCCCTTAATTGCCTATAGCCTATCAGCGCTCAAGCGCAAGCATAAAGTTTGCCACAGAGCAGCGCAGAAGTAATGATTATGAATGCTTCAGGGAAAAAAACAGCAAGAAGACTGCCTTAACCTCATAATAATTCATTGATAAACTAGGGTTTTCTGTATTTTCGGCTGCAGTGTTGAAGTCAACACTGACTCTTCATCTCCACAGTGGACGTGCACGTTTCATACTGATTACATAATCAGAAAATATTTGTTTTCCATTTGAATTGGTTCATTTAAAAGTAGACATTATGCTTTCTGTAGATATATTTTTCATGTCTGTGAGGCAAGCATGAAGTTTCGGTTGATATATATATATATAAAAAATGTTTTGATACACTGAAGTTCACAGAGACTTAGGCGGCAGAAAGTGCACCCTGTTTGCTTTCATTATTTTACAAAAGCACAACGTTTTGTTGTTATTGTGAGTGCACACAAATGAAAGTAGACGTTTAACACATTCAAAAGATGTATTACTCTTATCTGTATGACCAAAAATGATGGAGCATTTTAAGTTAAATGCAAATGATTGCACTGGTCTTGCAGTGAGCACTACTGTTCAGCTTCCACACTCTGCACAAACACAAATAGCGCACATTTATAGGATAACATTAGATGGAGTGGCCATGAAATGATGCTACTACTTACATGTTTCAGATTATAAGCCATATTTGAGGTCGATGATCGAAAGAAACGTTTGCATGTCCTGACTAGAGGTGTGCGATACTGACAAAAATATCATGATATTTTGTGGGATTTTATCGATAATGAAAATTAGGTGATATTTTGCTGAGTGTGTTATTGTACCGTGGACAGCTGACTCCTAAAGTTTTTGATATTCTTCTTGTGTGGTGGTCAGTCCACAGCAGAGACAGAAATTAATCTTTTCCAACAAGTTTAAATTGATTTTTACATTTTATGGGCATTTTTACCTTTATAAAGCCATTTAACCTGCAGTTACAAATGCATACATAATGTTTTGATATATTAAACATAAAAAACGTTGAATACTGTAAATGTGCAAGCGCATTAGTCTAACCTGCTAAACTTCATCACGTGATGAATGCGTGCACTCTGTAGTGTGTTTTGCATGGTTTTTGCGATATACTCGATAATGTAAAATTGCACATCGTTAAAACAACAATTTCGATATTGTCACAGATGATATATATATCGCACACCCCTAGTCCTGACCGATGTGCTGTAATTACCACACAGACCATCTGTTAATGACCTGTCCATCACGGACTACTGACTTTACTTTCTGTGGATTTTTTTTTCCGGCGACTAATAAAATTGTGATTTGCTAAGCATCTATTAGGGGGCAGCCGTAGAAAATTATGATTGGGACACTGATGATACACTAAACATGAAGAGTTCAGCTACATGAAAAGATCAAACAGATTCATAATTCCTGACTCTGATGTGTTTTATCTCCATCAGATTCCCATCAGCTAACTCTGGATCTGAACACAGTGAATAAACGACTCCATCTGTCTGAGGGCAACAGAGTGATTACTAACACTGGCACAGATCAGCCGTATCCTGATCATCGAGACAGATTTGATGAGTGGTCACAGGTTTTGTGTAGAGAGAGTGTGTGTGGATGCTGTTACTGGGAGATTGAGTGGAGTGGAGATGTGTATATATCAGTGTCATATAAGAGCATCACCAGGAAGGGATATGGTAATGAGTGTTTGTTTGGATATAATGATCAGTCCTGGAGTTTGTTCTGCTCTCCCTCCAGATACTCATTCTGGCACAATAACATACAGACTGCTCTCCCTTTGAAGTCCATCAGCAGTAGAATAGGAGTGTTTGTGGATCACAGTGCAGGAACTCTGTCCTTCTACAGCGTCTCTGACACAATGAGCCTCATCCACACAGTGAAGACCACATTCACTCAGCCGCTCTTTCCTGGGTTTTGGGTTTGTATTGGATCATCAGTGAAACTGTGTTGATGAATCAGAGTAGACTGACGAGAGAATCTACCCATGATGCTTTGAGCTGCATGATGAATCAGTAACAGTGAGATGTTATAGAGTCTTTTTTTTCTCTTCATGACATTAATACTGCAGCTGAAATTCTGTCAGTGAAATAACATGTCAGAATAAATGTGTGTAGTAAATCCTCATATCCACCTTTTTCTTCAACGTGTGTACCAACTCATGTAATAATTTTCTCAAAACTTAATAAAATCTTGAGCTCATAATGTAATAATAATTTTCCAATGTAATAACAATTTTTCACATAATGTAACTGTCACGCTGCTGCTGCTACTGTGACGCAGCAAGGAGACGTGGGGAAATTCTTGAAACAGTCCATATTAATCCAAACCAAAGCAAAGCACACGTAGCAGAGGGGATAGACTAACAATACCGGATGCTAGATATGGAAAAACACAGGGCTTAAGTAATGGGACTAATCAAGGAAATTAACGGGAACCAGCTGAAACAAATGAATATAATAGACACGAGGGAGAAAATAAGTAATGGGGAGAAAAACACAAGACACGGGACACTGGACTGACATTACTCCCCCCTCCCGGAAGGCACGTCCATGCGCCACACAACATCCAAAGGGGAGGGGGGGTGGGCGTTCCAGGACCCATGGTGGATCAGGCAGTTCAGAGAGCCATGGCAGAGCAGGGAGCTCAGAGAGCCATGGTGGAGCAGGCAGCTCAGGGGGCCATTGCGGAGCAGGGAGCTCAGGGGGCCATGGCGGAGCAGACAGCTCAGGAGGCCTGGCCTCGGCACTTGGCCCGACCTCTACAGACGGATCCCTATAACCTCCCCCCCCCAAAAAAAAATCCTTGGGGAGAATAATGGTTTCTGAGGCCCTCCGTGGGCAGGATGGGGGAACAGTGGCCCTCACTGGGCTGGACGTGGGAACTGGTGCCCTCTCTGGGCTGAAGTCGGGGACTGAAACCCTCTCTGGGCTAAATTCTGGGACTGGAACCCTCTCTGGGCTAAACTCTGGGATTGGAGCCCTCTTTGGGCTAAACTCGGGGACTGGAGCCCGCTCTGGGCTAGACTCCGGGACTGGAGCCCTATCTGGGCTAAACACGGGGACTGGAGCCCTCTCTGGGCTAAACTCGGGGACTGGAGCCGACACTGAAGTGGACTCAGGGGCTGGAGTTGACACTGGAGCAGACTCAGGGGCTGGAGCCGACACTGGAGCTGACTCAGGGCTGGAGCCAACACTGGAGCAGGATCAGGGGCTGGAGCCGACACTGGAGCAGGCTCAGGGGCTGGGATGAGGGCGGAAAACAGTCCTTTTTCTTCTCATCCTCCTCCTTTGGCTAGGGGTAAATGGAGCGGCCGGCAGACCTTACTTCGAAACGTCCGGCGGGCTTGAGAACACCGCGGCCAGTGGGCTTGACAACGGAGCTGCCGGCGGGCTTGACTGCGAGCTGGTTCTGGATCGGGGCTGGACACTCTCCAGACACCAAAGGATTCCTTTCCTCCAGCTCAGTCCCGTGGTATCTGGGAGGTCAACGGGGCGGAAGTAATTTGCCCAGATCCAGAACAGAGAGTTAAGCGTGGCATCGTCCAGCGCTGTCCTCGTCGCGAGCCCGTATAATTCCCAGGCGTACTCAACGAATGGGAGATCCTTCCGGGCTAGGGCGGCAAATCGTGTGGCGGATTCCATAACCGTGGGGGAGAAACAGAAAACTAGACACTCTCAAAAAAAGGAAACAAAAACACGGACAGAAGGGGCGCTGCTTACTTTTTGTAGGTACCGGTATTCTGTCATGCTGCTCCTGCTACTGTGACGGAGCGAGGAGACGTAGGGAAATTCTTGAAAGAGTCTTTATTAATCCAAACCAAAGCAAAGCACATGTAGCAGAGGGGATAGACGAACAATACCGGATGCTAGACATGGAAAGACACAGGGCTTAAGTAATGGGACTAATCAAGGAAATTAACAGGAACCAGCTGAAAAAAATGTACATAATAGACACGAGGGAGGTAGGTAATGTGGAGAGCATGGGGAGAAAAACACAAGACACGGGAACACAGGACTGACAGAACACACTGTGGCAACTTGTAATGTAAGCGCAGTTCATAAGGTAATACCAGCACATAATTTAAAACAATCATTATTCATTTTTGAGATATAGGCCTGGTTTCACAGACAGGGCTTAGACTAAGCCAGGATTAGGCCATAGTTCAATTAGGACATTTAAGTAATTTTTATAAACGTGCCTTAGAAAAAAAAACATTACTGGTGTAGCATTTGAACCAATCAGACAAACATGTGTTCATTAGATTTAACAAATCAATTATTTATTAGATTAACAAATAATCACAGACCTTTAACCCAATAAACATACTGGGTGCCAGCATGTCTGGGAATGACCCCAGGCCCCTGGTTACCATGGCAATCAGGACACCTCAGCCAGATCAGATAAACTTTACAACCTGAGAGTTCTCCCTCTCACCATCTTTCAACCATAGTAAAAACATAATGCCCATAAAAATGGACTCGTCTCTAATTAATTCATAGGAAAACCTTTCTTTGAATGAACACACATATCCTTCAGGTCATTGTGTATGTTGTTACTGTTCTTGAATATTGTCTTTTGTATTGTATACTGTTTTATGCATGCTTATGATAGAACCACTCCTTCATATAATCTTACCTATACCATGTTTAGTATCTATGAATTTGTCTTCTGATTATCTAAATGAGAGTGTATATTATATGTTGCTACATAGACAATATATGTGTATTCCAAGAATCTTTAGTAGTTTTTGCATAAACACCCAATCAAATTACATATGCAAAATACCATGCTCTGTGACAAAGTGTCGTAAACTTTCCCTCCAAAAGTTCAAGACACCATTGGCTCACTCAAATCCCAGAGGTGTGACCTCGATAGAGGATAAAGGCAAACACATCAGCGACCCACCTTCAGTCTGTGGTTCTGTTAGATTCTGAGAAGATGGGGATGCTGAGCTAGTCTTCTAAGGACACCCTAAATTCGTGCCAGGCCTTGGCCTTAAAATGTTTTTTTGTTTATTTATTTTGCATTTTTCCGGTTTATTCACGATCAGATTTTTTCTAGATCCTGCATAAAATGTATTTCTTACCTCACTGTTTGGGGAACAGACACAGTCTTTAAAGATTGGACAGCGCAAGTACTTCTATCATTTAAGCGGGTAGAACAAAAGCCATCATAGCAGTTATTTGATCATTGGTTTACTAGTCATATGGATTGTAGCATCCTGGAGATGTTGTCCAACAGGAGTTCTGCTGGGGTGCAGGCCATCAGCGCGAAAAAGCCTAGGACACTCCCAGAAAAGATTCCACTTATTAACAAAGAGCTGTTTCTGTTCTTTACACCATGATAATAACAATTTGTTTGAAGAAAACAGTCTACTGAACCTTTCGTGTCCTCGTCGATACGTGGGAAGCGGTCCTGACACGATAATCCCCGTTGCAGGTGATGTGCTGTGTACCGTCTCGATCAGGCTCCTGAAGTCCCTCTTCAGTGTCTCCGTCTGCCGCAGCTTGATGTCATTCACCCTTGTGCGCAGCAGGACCGCGCCGATGCTCTCGTCACCCTTCAGGATCGCGGGTATCCACACAGAAACATCGAGAACACGAGCACCAGGGAAACAGTGAGTGTGCACCTTACCTTTAGCTAAGGATGCTCAGACATGTCAGACGACGCAGTCTTCGACGATCACAGTGCCGCATTCTGTCTCACGAAGGGGAGCGAAGTAGTTCCAGGTGGAGATCTCCTATAGTTGTTCTATAGTTGCAAAGCACTGAAGTTTTTCTTTGGGTGCGATGAATGAAGCTAAATTAAAATATGTTGTACATTCTACATTTACATGATACATTTGGTACATACATGATTCTACATTTGTTATTGTATTTCTGATGATATCTATTTTATCAGTGAAGAAATTCATAGTTATTACTATTAAACTGTGAGGAAATATTTATTTCTCGAAAACCGGAGGCGGCGGGGGGGAGAGGTCCTTGCTCGGGGCCTGTCTCACGTCTTCCGCTGCTGGTGCACCCAGTATCCCGACATCGGAGTAAAGGAGACCTGGGAAGATCGTGTCCTGTATAAGGCCTGTGCAGAGAAACACACGGAGTAGAGGTGGTGGGAGCATTAATATCACGCTGTAAACTTACCCCGGACTTGTGAGGATCAGCCCGGGATGTTTCCACCATGGCTCTCTGCTCTCTCAGCTGGGCCTGCTTCTCCAGTAGCTCATGGATCTGCTTCTCCATGGCCTCCAGCTCAAGCTGCACCGAGTGTCCTCACCTGCACTCAAAGTTAGAAACATATCCGCCATTAGAGCAAGTAACAGTGAGTAAAACAATAGTAATGTGTGTGAATAGAGTAAGCAAGATTAGCGACAGCCGCACTGGTGATGCTAATGGGCTATAAACTAGTAGCGGAATCGGGAAATCAAAATAAAACTTGTGAGAAGGTGCTCCGATTGTTTTTGTTGTTGAGTACGAGAGGAGAAATGTTCACATGTTATAGAAACGAAAATTATGGTATATAAATTGATTTTAATATAAAAAAAATAGACAATAAAGAATTAACTTGAGGGAGCTCCAAACTCAAAACACGCGGCAGAAGTGACATCAGCAAACTGTTTGCTCCCTCAATTCAATTTCATTAATTGTTTTATAATTTCAAGGCATTCTAAGTTCATCTGAATAACACACAACACTGACATGAACAGAACAGACACTGTGTCACCATGCTCTGCATTACACTGTCTGTGTGTGTGTGTGTGTGTGTATGTGTGTGTGTGTGAGAGAGACTCTAGAGGAGCAGGAATGAGGAACCTGCTTCGCAGACTCGCAGAGAAACCTGTTTTTTAAAAACGTCCATATCAAACATTCAAGTCTTTGTAATCAGATGGGTTCTTAAATGCTGCTTTCACACCACTGTCAGTTTTTGTTGTGTTTATTTTGTTATTGAGAGGAAAGTACGAAGGCACAGCATGTTTACATATTCATCCAAACACCACTCAGCAGCTTCAGGTTCAGCTGTGTTTGCT